AAACAGGTTAAACTTGGAAATAAAAGCCCAGTTTACTTAAATCATATTTTTACTTCGGAGGTGAAAGGTGTGGTAGCTTTACATAGAGTCAATGCCAACAAAATTGCGGTTATTTTTAAACAATACAACACTGCAAATAATTTCATCACAAATACAGACTTTTTAACAAAGCACAACTTGAAGGCGCATATTCCTGCAGCGCAGATAGAAAAAACTAGAATCATCCGATATGTGCCTAACAACATTTCGAACAAGGAATTATATACGAAACTGTCTTCGATTTACGAAATTATTTCAGTGAGAAGATTCACGAAAAAAGTCGGTCAAAGTACTGTAGGTCTCGAGACGGTCAGTATAACTTTCCTATCAAATGTTCTGCCCGACAACATCCAATATGACCTATTTTCGTTCAGGGTGTTTGAATATGTCCCACCGTTACAACAATGCTTCCGGTGCTTCAAGTTCAACCACCCTGCGAAAATTTGTAATGGTAAACATCGTTGCTCGATATGTACTGGGGAACATAATTTTCAGAGACTGTGATAAAAAAGAAAACCTGTGTTGTGTCAATTGCAGTGGTCCCCACCTGGCCATTTCCAAATCTTGCCCAATAAAAATGAAAAAAATACTTGAAAAAAAGGGTAAAATTACTTATGCCTCTGTAGCTAATACAATTAAGTCATCTGATTTTCCGTCTTTACCTGCACAGTCGAGCAGTATTGTTAAGACCCTACCATCAATAAACCAAAATGTACATAAATTAAATAAAAATGTAAAAATTGTAAATAATGTAAATAAAACAGTGCCTGAACCCAACTTGAACCAAACTCAACTTAAGGCTCAAATTGCAAACAATAAGAATATTTTGATGGCAATGGTCCAAACTTTAGTCGAATTAGGTAATAAAACAGATAATGAACCTGTGACTACACTGTTCATTAAAGACTTACTTTTAAAAAATCTGTCACAATAATGGACAGTACAGTACAGAACATACAGCAGTTATGTATAGCTCAGTACAATATTCAAAGTATACATAGGAAAAAATCCTTATTGTCTAAATTTTTAGATGAGCAAAATGTTGATATCTGTCTACTCAATGAAACTTGGCTGAAAGATACTCAGCATTTTAACATTTCGGGATATAATTTCCACTATCATAATGCCCAAAATGAGCATGGTGGAGTAGCAACTTTGATCAAACCGTATTTTAAATATAATATTATTCAAACCAGATTTTACCAAGACATTCGGACTGTGGCATTATTGTTATATGTAAGTGGTAAACAATTAACGATTTTATGTGTATACTGCCCTCCATCGAATGGTAACTTCAGAATAAGTAAACTGCGTGATATAATTAGAGATTTGCCTAAGCCAATATATGTGGCTGGAGATTTCAACGCTCACCATGTGGCATTTGGGTGTATGACCACGAAAAGTCGGGGTCATCAGTTATACGATTTAATTGATGAATTTGATCTATGTGTCCTCAACAATGGTAGCTTCACTACTATTAATTATCCTAACCGAAATCCATCGGCTATTGATGTCAGCTTTTGTAGTGCTTCAATCACTCCACTATGCGAATGGTGGGTGCATGATGATTGTATGGGGAGCTATCATTTTCCCACGCTTACTCGTGTTTTATTGTCAGTTGATAGATACCAAATTAATCCTCCCATTGAAAAATTCTTATACAACAAGACAGACTGGACAAAATACAATGAGCTGTCTATAACTGCTTTTTCTAATTTTGAAGTTAATAATGAGAATCCATTACAGTCATATGATGAATTTATTGAAAGGCTTGATACACTTAGGAGAGATACTGTGCCAAAGTTTGTCAAAGCAAACAACTATCGTTGCAAACCTCCAGCACCTTGGTGGAGTGACACATGTGAACAGAGTGTTATTAAAACTTATGAAGCTTTAAAACTGTACAGAAGAGATCCAACCATTGATAATTACATTAATTACAAAAGACTTAATGCTGTTAAGGAAAAGACTATTTCAGAACATAAACGCAATGGTTGGGCTAACATCTGTAATACTTTTAACAGAACTACACCTGTTAGTATTATTTGGAAATACATCAAGTTATTTAAACGAATAAAATGCAATAATAGAACATATAAAGACGAATTTGTAGTCCCTCTTTTAGACAAATTATCTCGAAATGGATGTAGGGTTATTGATAATCTAGAAAGTTATTTTCAAATTAATAATAGTCTTCAGAAGTCCAGTTTCCTCATAGAACCCTTTACTTGGAGTGAGTTTTGTACAAGTTTACAATCCAGACGAAACACAACCCCTGGTTTAGATAATTGTCCATACATTTTGATCAAAAACCTAAATCAGTCCGTACAAAAGAAACTATTAGCTAATCTTAATGCTCTTTGGCACTTAAAAAAAATTCCTGAATCTTGGAAAACACAGTGTGTAATCCCTCTACTTAAGCTTGACAAGCCACCTGAAGATCCTAATTCATATCGTCCTATATCTTTGTCATCTTGTGTTGGAAAGCTTAATGAAAACATGATAAAGATGCGTCTTGAGTGTTATGTAGAGGCGAACAACATCATTCCACATGTTCAATATGGCTTCCGGAGAGGCAGAAGTTGTGCTGACAGCTTCATCTCTCTCTTGTCAGATCTGAAATATGCCAATAATAATAATAAGTCCTGTGTGTTTTTCTGGATATTGAAGGTGTGTTTGATAATGTAGATCCTGGCATTTCGGTTCAAGTTCTTTCTGACATTGGTATACCAGGCATACTTTGCCATTGGTTATTTAATTTTTTAATAGATAGAACTTTGTATATAAGGCATAATAATATTCTCCATGGTCCCAGAAGGGTCTCCAAAGGTACAATGCAGGGGGCTACATTATCTCCATTGTTGTACAACATATACACTAGTCAAATTCTTAATTTTGTAAATATAGAAGGTGTAAATATTTCACAATTTGCGGATGATCTTGTAATATATTGTACAGACCATAATGTAGATAGAGCTGTAAATAGTATAAATAATGCTTTAGAGCAATTGTACATATATTATAATGACAAGTTGGCTCTACAGATTAACCCTAACAAAAGCAAGGCCATGATTTTTAGTAAAGATTTTCCCTCTAATGGCATACTCTACAATAATCATCCAATTTCAGTTGTATCTAACCATAAATTCCTGGGTGTTGTCATTGATAACAAACTTTGTTTTAATTTACACATCAATCACATTGTAACTAACTCTCTTAAGGGCTTAAATATTATAAGATGTTTAGCTGGTGTGACTTGGGGTGCAGACCCCAAAGTTTTAAGTATGCTATATAAATCTATAGTCAGAAGCCATATCGACTACAGTTGTTTAGCCTACTCAAATAGTAGTTGTGTAAAAAAACTAGACATAATTCAAAACAAAGCTCTGCGAATTATTTCTGGGGCTATGTGTTCAACTCCCATACGAGCTATGGAAGTTGAAACCAAAATAATGCCACTGTGTCTTAGAAGACTTTTGCTAATAGAGAGATATTTACTAAAGCTGGTATCTGGTAATAATAATGTTCTCAAATAAATAGTACCTTTTCCTTTACAATGCTCGGTCCAGCAGACTTCAGGAGGTGAGCTTTTACAAGGTTATTTTCCAGTTTTGCCTCTCATTGTACAGCAAATGAATGAAGATTTTAAAAATGTAATTAAACAATCAAAGTGGACATGCTACACATACCCATATTCCTGTATTATATTTGAGACCAATATTGTTACCAAAAACTTTTTTAATAATTGTGAATTATTAAGTTTTATTTCCGACAATAACTACTATACTTTGTATACAGATGGTAGCAAAAGTGAGCTCTTTGTGCGCAGTGCCGTTTATGATCCACAATGCAAGTTTGGTCAAAGTTTTCTTCTGGATCCTAAATGCAGTGTTTTCACTGCAGAGGTATATGCGGCCCTCGAGGCCCTGAAGAGGATTGCACATATAAATAGTTTTAATAATTTTTTAATTTTAACAGACAGTTTAAGTATGGTCCAAAGTTTAACTAATCTCAGATTTGACTTTAAAAAAAACTATATTTTGTATAATATTAAAAAATTGTTATTTAGTTATGCAAAAAAGGGTATACAGGTCTCTTTCATGTGGATTCCATCACATAGGGGCATAACAGGAAATGAGATAGTAGATAAAATTGCACGTGATGGAACCAACATGTTGGATGTTAGCTCCATAGTAAAAGTACCTTTGACCGACTGTTATCAATCTATTGACAACCAGGTCAATAGCTTATGGGTCGAATTTTGGAAACAAGATCAAGAACAGAAGGGTAAATGGTATGGAACTGTTCAAGAAAAACTTCCTGTAGCACCATGGTATAACAAACTGAAAATGGCCAGTCGGGACTTTATTACCACTATAAATAGACTGCGCTTTGGTCACTCCACCGTCCCGGCCCACCTGGCTCGATTGGGCATAGTGGAGAGCAGTTACTGCACCTTCTGCAATAATTCTGTTGGTGATATCGAACATTTCATATTTACATGTGAGTGCTTTTCATTTGACAGATTGATTCTTGTCAGTGAAATTAGTGACATAGTGCAAAATCAAGTGACAGTGCAAGATCCCTCCCGCCGCCTGAGTGATATGTTAAAAAATAGATCCTATTACGTGCCTCTATATAAATTCATCAAAAATACAGTGGGGAAATTATAATAAACCGAATAAAAATACTCAAGACTTGGCCTAAAGGTCTAGATGCCAGGCCATAAACTCCAAAAAAAAAGCGACATTATTTACTCTCTTCTCTCTGTTTCATTAGAAAATAAACAATAAATATGTCACAGAGTACATTGTATATACATGAAATGTACATATTAAACGAGAAAATATTATTTTAGTGAATATGCAATATATAACTTTATCAAATAATATAGTTTGTGATATTATTAATAATTTTAAAGTTAATTGCAATGTGTGGTAGGTGATTTTAAGCTTTACACAATGAGTAATGATATTCAATCAAATCGTATTGAGGATACTATAAGCGAATCGGATACGGCGCAGTTATTGAGTAATGAAGAAGCAAGCACGTCTAATTATACACAGTTAAATAGATCTGTATATTTTGAGGTATTTTACATTTATTTTAACACACCGCACTTCATAGAGCTTGTTCCTGATGTTGTAAAGACATTCAAAAAACATGGTCATTAATCAAAATCACTTTTATTTAATATACCAATTATTTGATTAAATACCAATTAGTTTCTTAGCCTTTGTGTTTACTTACGTAAACTTTTACATTAATACTTGTAAAATGTGGGGTATTATAATAATATGAAGACTTAAATTACAATTTTTTTACATTACTTACATCAACAGTCATTTGAAAGTTAGCATTTTCAAATGACTGGTGATCAAAAGATCTATATTTATAACTTACATATTATATGAAGTTTCAGCACTCGGAAACTTATACATTTTGTGAAAATTAAGAACTAAATTATGATTTTCTTCAATAATGTTGCTTGTTTATTTGGTTCATTCTGCCAAACTTAGGAAAAACAAGTTTAACCCAGGAAAAACAAATGTTTGAGATTGGTTTTGGTTGGTAACAAATGCTATTCACTGTAGATTTTATTTTTAAAAACTTGTTTTGACTGAGATTACAATAATAGATATGCATTTATGAGGGAGGCTTACAGCATGGGTGCTAACTCCCCTCTCTCACTTTAATTTAAAAAAAATTGTACTAAAATTCTTCAAATTGCCACTCAATTATGAAATTTTCAAAAAGGTATAAAAATTATGTATTTATGAAAACAGGTGTGGCAGGGAGATTCACCTCCTCCTACCCCTTCTTAATGTAAAATCCTTTTCTTCATTCCTACCTTTTCTAGCCTAACACCTTATAATGACCACATCAATACTAAAAATCTTTTATATTTTAAATAAATAGATTGACCCCTTAGGTTACAAAAAAATGCAGTTATTTTGATGTTACAGATAGACACCTCAATTTTATTTATGTGTATATAAATAAACAAACACCAGATTTGAAAGTACAACCAAATCAATTCTTTTAAATGCTTATAGTGTGGCCAATAACAACCTTGTTTGTTTCATTGTCATCAACCACCCATCATAAGTCCACTAAACACAGACCTAACTCAAGAACTTCCACATGATATAGACTTGAGCCATCTACAGCAAACCATTTCCTTAATAGTTTTAATTTTTTTTATAGGATAAGGGTGACAAGCAAGCACTCAGTCCACCTGATGGTAAGTGGTTGCTGCGGCCCATAGACATTCACATCTATCCTCGATTATGAATTAAAATCCTGATGCACACCCGTGAGGACTAAGTGGAATGCCTCATTTCCAGTAAAAAGGGTCTCCTGTTCTCTACACTCACCATACGAAACAGCAGCATTAAGCTGCTATTTTACACTGGTATTCTGTGAGAGAGTGGTCCTTCCCTGGTCGAGCTGACCCATTTGTGCAACAACTATATCACTAATATAGCTGCAGCATGGCTCTACCACGTAAAATTATTACTTTTTTAGCAATCTGATGAAGACGAACTGACTGGAAGCCATGGAATCAGACGTAGACAACCGGTGCAAAAATTTAAACCTGGTTCTATGAATATATTATCAGCTAAATATGAAGTAAGTGTTACATGGCTTTTTTATAAAAAAGTAAGAAAACTGATTTTTTCCATCAGTTACGTAATAAAGTAACATGTACTCCACAGCTTTTAAAATAATTTAGAATTTTGATACACTTAATTATGTTGGCCAGAAATGAAAACTAAAACAGTACATGTATGATTTATTGATTTGCTTACAGAGTTTGGACTATGATACCTGTGAAAATCATTTGCTTCTTGACGAAGAACGCAAGAGGGGTTATGCTTTTATAATTTGGAAGGATATAGCTCGCTGGTTTGTTATCCTGCAGATAGGAGTTGTGACAGCACTCATAGCTTTCATAATTGACATTTGCATAGAAGAATTCTCTGGAATAAAGTATAAACAGCTTAAAAAATGTATCCTTTTTATTGTAGATCTTTGCACCCTACTGTAATGTAAGTCCTGCTCATTGTATCGTTTTGTTTGTTATAAGATGAGTTTTAAGTTGAAGCATTTAAACAGCAATGCTTGGTATAAGTTATAAAATCATTTGTTTAATATAAATAAAGTTAGATTAAATTTAAGATAATATAAGTAATTTTTTTTTTGTATAAAATTAACGCATTCACTATCCATATGACCTGACCCATATGTGGGCCCCAGATTACTTAACAGAAACTAGAATTTACGTAATTATAGCACTTGAAATCAAACTATGTCATCCCTCATTATCTTAACTGGACATCTCTAAAGCTATATCATCATAAATACATACATACAATGTAAGAAATTTAAACTGAAACAAAATTACAATATTATTTTAAAACTTAGAGTATGTAAATTACTAATCATCATTGCTTAGATAAACCCTGTGAATACCTTTTTTATATTTTTGATAGATAGATAGATAGATAACACTTTATTGTACGCCAAAAAATAACAAAAATATTAACAGAAAATGAGAAAAAGAAATGTGGTACAATGGTCGGTCTTATCGCTAAGAGCGATCTCTTCCAGACAACCTTTGGATGGACAGTATTGCAAGAAAAGCAATAAAAACGTGTGTGGTTTGCTGACAAAATAAAATTATTATTATTAAAGCCATAAAATAAAAATATATAATGGTATATAAGTAACTACATAGATAAGATAAATACATATATACTTATTAATATATATGTATAAATATACAAATATATACTTTAAAACTATTACATATAATATAAAAGTGCCATTTTTATGTAGTTTTGGAATATTTTTAAAAACAGAAAAAAGCTTTTTTGAAGAGATATCATCATTGTTGCAGCCTTTCAAAATCCACAGCTGAACATAGGCCTCCTGCATGCATTCCTCATAGAGAATATATCCCATAGTTACCATGCTTGGCAGGCGGGTTGGCAACCTCAGTTTTTTTTTATTTAGTATTGCATGTTATTTTGTCATACAGTAAATTATCTTTTTTTTTTCAAATTATTTTTTTTTTAACTTATACAAACAGCTGTGGATATATTTGTTCTAGAAGACAAATTGTACATACCATACCTATTGTGGGTGTTATCAAACATATGTATTGTATTTTTTGGTTCAGTGCTGGTGGCATATATTGAGGTTATATAACATTATCTTTTTAATACCTATTAATGAAAACTACACATTTCTGTTCCATATTTCTATCAATGAGTAAAATGTTACACTATGCTTTTCCTTTTCTGTAAGACTTGTTAAAGTAGGAAGAAAGTTATGTAGAATTTGCCAAAGTATCTAGCTTATTCTAGTTAAGAATATAATAATGATTTTCGATTCCGAAACTTGTGTGATTTGCGTTTGCATAAGTTTATTTGAACGTATTTCTTATGGGAGTTCTACCGATCTAGTCGAAACATATATAAATCATGTTGAAGCTACTGCTCACTACGTTACTCACTGTTTTGTTACACCAATCCGTCTAGCAGCATAAACAAACTAATAACTTGGTCGGTCTATGTAGATATAATATTATACTTTAGTTATATTATAAAAATCGTTTTGCTAGATTGGCTAAAAGAATTTCATTACTATGCTTGTGAAAGACTTCTTAGTGCTAACATAAGTTTTAATAAAGATTATTATTATTAAAAAAATCAATTGTATTTGCATTCAGCCGGTGGCAGCAGGGAGTGGAATACCACAAGTAAAATGCTACTTGAATGGCGTAAAAGTGCCAAGGGTAGTACGAATCAAGACACTGGTTGTAAAGGCTGTTGGCGTCATTACAGCTGTGGTTGGTGGGTTAGCCGGAGGAAAGGTATTGTTATATAAGGAGTTGGAAGATTGTGTATTTATTTTTAATTTTATAAATGTTTGCATACTAAGCAACCATAGAATCATGAAGTGTAATTGGTGTAATCGTCAAAGTGCCTTGTAGTCGCGCCAGTGTCGATAACAGGCGATAGAGGGAAACTGAAACAGACTGACACTGAAACTGATAACAAGCTAATGGTAATAAAAAAAAAACTGTGTTGTCCAACCTGCCTGCCAACCAAGCAAACTATGGCAAATATGGGCGTCAATCTATACTATATACTTCTATAGGGGCCTATGTTTAGTTCATGCCTTGGTATAAATTGGCCAAGTATAATTTTAAACGAAATAAATTTTATTAAAATTTTTTGAACGAATTACAACACCATTTATAAATTTCGCTGCAACAGGCTGCATTCGTTCACAGTTCTGTGCCACTAGGCTATAATACAAAAGCAGCGGCAAATTGTTCGCAATCACTGCTGTAACATTAAGCAGGATTTATTGTTACTTAATGGACTATGATTGTAGTAAACAATCTAAAAAATATTAAATATAAAATACATACCTAATTGCGATTTTGTGTGAAATGTTACGTTAAATATATGTAAAACATAATAAATTATTTTATTTATTATACTTAATCTCCATTTAACATAAATTCAAATCATATGATTCAAACAAAATTATATTAGGCAATTTTAGTAATAAGGGGTGCAAAGAGTTCTGCGCAAAAGTCATCTTTGCTGACGTTCCCCCACGTTTAAATTCTTCGCATTAATATGCAACTAGCATACGGCGAAGCATTTACGATTTTTCAAATCTTGATTGGATTCTTCTGAAATTAAACTTTACAAGTTCAGATAGTTTTAGTGCGTAGTTCATTTTTTCTTATGATAAATTTAATATAAATTAATTAAATGCAATGTCGTCATTTTATTTCGCTCGCCGCACAGGTCCAATACTGAGATTGACATTTGGGAATCTTTTTTCGTCATCGGTTGTCGGTTCTTCGAGCTATATGGCCGGCCTATTACCACTTTGACTGTTAAATCCTTTGGGCTATGTCGGTTACTCTGGTTTTACTTTGGATATCTTCATTACGAATTTTATCACGCTGGGAAACTCCGAACATAGCCCTCTCCATAGCTCGCTGAGCGACATAAAGCACCCTCATAGGCCCAGCAGTAAATGCCTAGTATATAAGTGTAATTGGGATAGCCAAAGGCAATGGGGCGCTTAATTTTAACAGTCCAGGATGGCTTTGAACCACTTTGTGCCACTGCTGAACACAAATCTCACAAACTGGTATTAGACCACAGTAGGTATTACCGTTGGTGCGAGGATATCGGCGTTACGCTTCCTATCCATTCTCCCAAATGTTATGAGAAAAGTATTATTTTTTAAATAATTATACTTTACAAAAAATCAAGACTCTTGGACGGCGCGGCGTAGCCGCAAAACAAATCTTTTATTCTTTTAGTTACAAATGAATGATTACTTACAAATTAACTCAAAGACGTCTAAATAATAACACTGACAGTTGAAAATAATTAAACTACGGTTGTTGACTCGCTTGCCAAGCTTGATAACTACGGCAAAATCTCCCCAATGCGGCAATATATAGAAGAGGTCTAGCAGTGGACATTTGATAAGCTGTTATGAATGATAATTAAAAAAAAAACATTTTGTTGTGAGCACAATTCCTTGACCGTATTGCTGCACTGATACACAATGATTGTTGATGCATCTACATCATGTGACTACGAGTAATTACTAATTTTTTTTTTATAGGAATGGGTGACAAACGAGCACACAGTCCACCTGATGGTAAGTGGTTACTGTGACCCATAGACATCTATATCTATCTCAATAAAGACTCAAGATGCGTTGTCACCCGTGAGGACTAACAGGGAATGCCTCTTTGCCAGTAAAAAGGGTCTCCGGTTCTCTACACTCACTGGTTTTCTGTGAGAGCGTGGTCCTTCCCCGGTTGAGCCGACCCATTCGTGCTACAACCATAATATAGCTGCAGCATGGCTCTACCACGTAGAAACAAAAACGTAAAATGATAAATAATAAAAGATGTTCTGTGACTCAACTTGATAGTTTTATTTTGGTGGTAATGATATAGCACCTTACTATTTATTGTGGCATAGTTATCGCTAATCGTATATATATAATGTCATTGACATATTTTAATTATACAAATACATCCTGCAGATTACAGCTATTTTTGACTATTGAATAAAATTTCCAGGAAGGTCCTATGATACACAGCGGGGCTGTGGTAGCCGCAGGGATATCACAAGGAAAGAGTACAACGTTCAATAAAGATTTTAAAATATTTCATTACTTCCGTGAAGACCACGAGAAGCGCGATTTTGTTTCCGCTGGTGCGGCTGCTGGTGTATCTGCAGCTTTCGGAGCCCCAATAGGTAAGACGTGTTGAATGTTCCGATAATGGTGTTCTAGATAACATTCAAGCATAGCAAGGTATTTTTTGTAATTTTCACAAAATTTATTTAGTGTTTCTGAATTCATTTAACCAACCAAACCACCAACCCACCTTATTAATGTTTTATATAAATTATTTATTTTATGTAAAGTATGGTTTTATATGACAACATAATCTTTGAGGTTACTGTCCATTTTTAATTATTTTTTTGTGTTTTAGTAGTCTAAGCCAAACATTTCATAAATGTGTTGTTTTAGGTGGCGTTTTATTTTCACTGGAAGAGGGCACGAGTTTCTGGAATCAAGCCTTAACATGGCGAACTTTCTTTGGAACTGTGGTATCCACTTTCACTTTGAATTTTGCTTTATCTGCCTATCACGGACACCCAGGAGAGTTAAGTTATCCAGGTTAGTGTTAGTGTTTGTGTTTTGTAAATGCAAGTCATATAAAAGCTTTTAGAAAAATTGACTTCGCAAATATCCGCGTTATAAAATAAAATGATGTCTTACCTAGTATTCAGAGCACCTCCCGCCCTCCCTCAATTGCGTGCACTATGCCCGTCACCACTATTCCCAGCACCGCTACTCCCAACACCACTACACTATGTAAGACACACCACTGACGACAATACGACACGTGTTTCGCCTCTACACGAGGCATCCTCGGGTGATATAGACTCTACGGTGGCTAACCGCTAAGTGAGCGGCGAGCCAAAACAAGTGCCTTTTATACAGACCGATGACGCAACCGCTCTCTACTTAAGGAGCGAGCGACTGCGTCATGCGATAAAACATGCGACCAATCACCGCCGGACTTACGCAGCCGTTTTAAAATTAAAAACAAACCGCCGCGCAACGCCCGCCTACCCTCCAACCACGCAACCAATCGCCGATCACCGTGAGGGTGACAAACGACCAAATTGCGAGGCTCCTCTCTATTATTAGAGAGCAAGCTTAAAGATATTTAAGAGAGGTGAGTTAGTAACATTTGTTTGTTTATTCAGCAGTGCAACGGTACTATTATTACTTTTTAATATCTCTAACTGTTCCAGCACACACAGCCGCAGCCCTTTATTACACGTATGTAAGAATTTAAAGGAGTGGTCGTTGGCTAGGTTGTGTCCAGTGTCCAAAAGATGTTAGGCAAAATGGGATTTATCGGGAATGCAATTCCTGTACGCGGCTAAGTGCTCTTTATAACGTGTCTCGAAATTGCGACCAGTCTGACCCACGTAAACGGCGTGGCATTCGTCATAAACAAGTTTGTAAACACCTGACTTTTGACGAATATTCAACTTATCTTTATTATTACAGATATTTCTAAGAGAATTGTTTGTTGTGAACGCCACATAAACGCCGTTTTGTCGAAGAGTATTAGCTACTTTTTCAGATATGGGGCCTAAGTAGGTCAAACTGCTCACATATTGATGAACACTTTGAGGTTGAACCGCGTACAGAGAGTTGCGAACAACATGCTTTTGTTTCTTTTTAATTAAATTGTTAATGAGATTTTTTGAAAAGTCATTTAAAGAACTTTCTTACTTCATGATCATCATTACAAACGTTCAAAAGTATGGACTTTTGAAAGTCTGTATGGAGCTGAACATAGGCCTCATAGGGGGATAATTGTTATAGTAGCCACACTTGACAGGCGGGTTGTTGACCGCATTTATTTTTCATTTTGAATTGTTTTTGTTATCCTCCATTTCAGTTTCCCTTTGTCTCGTCTCGTGGGTAAGGTACCACGAAATGATATGGGTAGTAGATAATATCTTACCCTGCCACTGCACGGTGAATTTTTCTTTCTTACCTAAATATACTTAATATATGTAAATTGATAACTTACATGTGCAAATTGTTCTATAGGTTTATTAAACTTGGGGAAGATGGAACCTTTCCCATTCCAATTCTACGAGCTGCCCGTTTTCATGCTTTTCGGCGCCGTCGGAGGTCTCCTGGGGGCCTTGTGGAACTACATCAATTACAAACTTGCTGTATTTAGAATTAGGTATACTACAAATTGTATATTTTTCCACTCGTATAACTTTATATTTATGAGTTCAGGAGCATTGTTTTTATAACGTTGTTTTTGTAACATTGTGATATATCATTGCCACTCATTTTTATAGTTGTCTATTAACTTGAACAATTGTAGCCAGTCACTTAGCTAACCCCGCTAACATACCTTAAGCACACGCAATTTTTCCATGGACGTCTTTCTTTTATCGTGAATTTTCAATAAAATAATAATTTAGTTTCATACCAATGTCTAATGATGTTATGGAAACGTGCATAAACCATTAAATAAATTAAAAATAAAATCTATATAAGTCCATGTAAAATGTGTATTACATTTTAATAACCAACAGCAATAGAATGCTGCGCAAAACGCATAAAATAGACGCAAGCCGAAGAAGTGTGAGTGCGGAGTGCGATAACACATCCTTTGTTTATTCAACGGAGTATGCAATATTACAGATATCGATAACTAAGACGAAGGCGTTCATAAAAGATGCGCTTATATCGTCTATATTCTTCTCCTTTTTTGAACTCCTTTAAAATATATATTGTATTTTAAACGCGTCATGCGCAAATCCTTTCACGGACACAAAGGTCTGTGGCGAGTATCACGTAAATATTGACTTATTTTATTGAGATACGCTGTTGAAAGAGATACATCGCCACAGTGAATAAACAACATCCACGAATAAATTGTGTAATAAATCGATTTATACACAAATACCGACTGTACAGACAAATGCGATCGAGTAGTGGCGATGTAAGATATCTACAGGTAGGTTACTAGATGACAGGAATTTTCCTGACATGTCCGGAACTTTAGCTCTCTGTCAGGGAAACAGGAAAAATTTGAAATTGTCAGGAATTTTTAAATAAAATATTTTGTTAAAATTTTTAAATATTGTCAGCCTGTTATATATAAAAGAAATTTTTGGGTAGGTATTTGATGCCAAAACTTGTCAAATACCAACCCAAAAATGTCTACCAGCTCTCGAACTATTTGCTGCTTCCATGTCAATATCAGGAAATTTATTAAAAAGTCAGGTATAATTGCCAGGAAAACTCATTATCGGATCTGGTAACTCTATCTACAGGAGGGAAACAAACTAGGAGATGTGCAGCAGCGTCTTCCTAATAATAACTAAAAATTAAAAAATAAACTGTGGTTGCCAACCCGCCCGCTAAGCGAGGTAACTATGGCAAATATCTCCTTTTGGAGGCAATCTATGGGGGAGGCCTATGTTCAGATGTGGATTTTTAATACGCTGTAATTGTAACGGTATACTATTACTGACATACGCTAGTAATACTTTACGGCTCATATTACTGACGTTACCGAAATAATTAAACGTACATTACTTATCAAATATATAGAGCCATACATAGAGCTTGATAATATATAAATAAGGGATTAAATTTCTTCGTACGCGAGTTACCTGTGTGCCATCCCCGCCGGCATCCAAAAAATAGCTTGTATGTGATAGACACGGTGGACACGGTGGACACGGTGGACTAGTTGTAAAAAATATTATATTTTAAATTAATTTTTTAATTTTTACGTGGTAGAGCCATGCTGCAGCTATATTAGTAGTATAGTTGTAGCACGAATGGGTCGGCTCAGCCGGGGAAGGACCACGCTCTCACAGAATACCAGCTCCAAATAGCAGCTTAATGCTGCTGTGTTTCGTATGGTGAGTGTACAGAACCGGAGACCCTTTTTACTGGAAAAGAGGCATTTTATCTTAGTCCTCACGGGTGACAACGCATCTGCATTTTGATTCGCAAACGAGGATAAATGTAGATGTCTATGGGCCACAGCAACCACTTACCATCAGGTGTACTGTGTGCTCCTTTGTCACCCTATTCTATAAAAAAATGTTTAATACCGCGTTTAGACTCGCCTGGCGCCTGGCCTCGTACCTCGCCTCGTACCTCGCCTCGCAGCTCGCGTGTTATTGCAAGGTAACGAGTGCATGTTTACACTCTCGCGATGTGTTCAGCTTGCGTTGAGCCAGCAACGATGGAAGACGTCAAAATAATAGCGGCATCAACTCTTGCCTTAATAAGTATTAATCGATGCTTGACCATTTCAAAAAGAAGGAAATTAAAAAAAAATACGTCGTCGAGGAAGAATATGGTGGATGATATCTATTCATCGAAACAGAACCTTTTCAGTTTCATAATTTTATATAAATTGCTAGTACCTATTGTGCAAGATTAAATAACATTCTTTTATTAAAATTGTAATTTTAAAACAAAAGCAATTCGAATGTTATTATGGAAGGGCACCGTAAACAAACTGAAACTAAAGCGCGAGTGTAATAAACACCACGCTAGCGTCCCTCGCGAGGCCCTTTGCCTCGTGCCTAAAGAACCGCCTCCGACGCAAGCGTCGCGAGTGGCGAGGCGAGCTGCGAGGCGAGCTACGAGCTGTAGAGAGTGTAAACGGGGGGTGACAAAAGGCCCGCTAGGTTTCTTGCCATTACAGGGTTTTTCCGAACTAATGGTAAAGAATAAACGATTTCAATAAGTATTCTTGTAATCTATTGAATAAAAAACATTCTATTCTATCTGCTCCATGACCCCGACGAGGAAAGGTTAGACCCTGGTAATAATGATAGATGAACGAATTTGGTGCAGGTATGTGAGCGCGCCGTGGTTGCGCGTGGTGGAGGCTTGCCTGGTGGCGGCAACCACCGCCACCTGCGGCTTCCTCATGATGTTCCTACTAAACGATTGCCGCCCGCTCGGGGAGGATCCCACTAAGAATCCACTACAGGTACAGCCAATCGTTTTATATGTTTGATGTATGTATGACCTTTGAATAATACGCTTATTACTATCTATACTATACTAATGTTTAACAATCGCTGCCCGCGGTGCAATAAAATGGGAAAACAGGACGCTGCCTGTTGCGCTCTTTGTCGCACTTACGGGCTTTATGGGCGCTGTCTGTCGCACTTACGGTGCACCGCGGGCAGCTAGTGTTTAACATTAGTGTAGGTGGTAGGGCTCCTTTTATGCTTAGAAGGCCGTCTGGGTTGTATTACCGTACCATTCTATAATCTACTTTTGCCACCCAAGTGCTACTAAGTAGTCAGAGTAGGTACTTAACAGTAATGGCTTGTGGTTGTCAATAGTATGAATATAGAAGCACTCAAACGTTTTTATTAATCATATCCGAGTTAAAGCTTAAGTGATGTAAACTGTGTTGTGATAGAAAAAAGAGGAGGAAGTTACCTTGAATGAAAATTTGCAGATTTGATCCCAGTATTCGGGAGTTATCAGGCAGATACCATTAATCCAGGTTGTCGTCGAGTATTTGTTTCACTGTTATCCTTGCAACACAAATAAATTAATAAAAATAATATGTAATAAAAGGAACCGCTAGTAATAAGGAAATCACGTCGTAATCCTCATGTGTAACAACACATTTACATTTTATTCTTAACCGAGAATAAATATAGGTGTTTCTGGGGCACAATACCCACTTATCATCAGGTAGACTGTGTTAGTCTTTTGTTACTGTTACTTGTATAAAAAATAGAGAAAAAAGAAAGAAATTAATGCAGCTGTTCTCTGTTTCCAGCTATTCTGTGCGGATGGCGAATACAATGCGTTAGCAGCAATATGGTTCCAAACGCCCGAAGCCTCGGTGCGCTCGTTCTTACATGATCCAATTGGCTCTTACAAACCTAGCTCGCTGCTCTTGTTCATAGTGTGCTACTATTTATTGTCTACGTGGACATTCGGCTTGGCCGTGTCCAGTGGACTGTTCATACCTAATCTGTTGACGGGAGCTGCTTGGGGGAGGCTGTTGGCGGTTTTAATTCAATACATGCTGCCCAATAATGTAAGTAGTGCTTAATAATTAACGAAAATATAAAATGAAACAAAGTGGTTTTAAGTGACACAGTATAAGGAAACCTGAAACTGATGGTGGTGCAGCAAAACTAAATATTTATTTTACTCTTTTAATATTATAAAATTATATTAGTTATATTTTTGTTCATAATATCATAAAAATATGAATAAAATTGGATTTTTTTTTCATGTCAATCAACTCTGTTTCTGGTTACTATCATTCCATTATCTAAAAATATATTATCATTAGAAGAAAAATATAATATCAACTTTCATACAATATCGTACACATATTTACTACTAGCTGTGCCCGCGGCGTAGCTCGCGTATATAGATTTTACATAAAGAACTTGTCGTTTAGGTAAGAGAATATTAAACGATTTATATCATTACTGTATCAATAAGTGGTAACAATTAAATCATTATCATCAAAGTTCTAAGTAGTTTATGATAGAGCTTCGGTGTAAACGACGTTAGAAGTGGACTTAGCCGGGGTGTACACAAAAAGGTTACGGGGGCTACTAACGCGGGAAAAAGCAACATAGAGTTGGCCATGTGCAAAACAGTCAGTACTGAGGTCCACTCTTACAACGCGTAAATTTTGACCTTGCGCTTTATTTACGGTCATCGCATAACACACGCTGACTGTAACTGGGAGCTGAACGCGCTTAAAACTGAAAGGAAAGTTACTTCTTAATAGAGGGTTTTTTGGCAGTGCTGCCAGATCAAAAAAACTCATTCAACGCTAGGACAACACAAAAAGCGCTAGATTTCATGAAAACAGCGCTTTAAAAAAGCCCTAGATTTCGCGCTAAATTAACTACAAACAAAGTTTGTGTTTTTTATTATAATTTATAATTCAAGAAAATATAATCATAATAAAGAAAACAACATTAAGTTTTTTTCTGGCAATATTTTTTGATGTATCAATACTTCGCAGGACATCGACTTATAATTATGGCAATTGCTATCAACAGTAGTTAGTACTACTCTAAGTAACTTTTAACTTAGCTGTGCTCTAAACAACTGACTAAAACTGAATAAAGCAAAATAAATGCGTTGCCAAAACCATGAACGAAAACTTTAATGAAGGGGATTTCCCCGCTTATAGTCGTCGATAAAAAAAATCAAGTTGATCATCCTAAAGGGGAAGCCGGGAGATCCATAGCACAGGGTATCCTAGTTTGGACTCGTCTCCCATGCTCTTTGTTTTGTGGAAAAATATGTTTGAAAAAGATAAACTGCAATGTACTATTTGTGGAAAAAAATAATAAAGGTCACTATTATTATTATCGGTAATGTGGACTAACAGTGCTGCTATAAAAGAGTTGATAACCCGCTAGTCGCTACAATTTTGAAATGTGTGCTAAATACACCAAAAAGCGCTGGATTAAGTGCTAGGTGCTCAAATTTCGAAATGCGCGCTATACATTCCAAAAAAGCGCTAAATCTAGTTCCCAAAGCGCTAAAATGGGAGTACTGATTTTGCGTATATTATAAATACAATATCACTACATTTCCTTGCAATTTTGCTATTTTTGTTCGGGTTCCGTTGTATGGCTTCGATAGATACAAATTTCTTCAGTAAGTCTCAATACGATTCATCGGCGAAAAATCTCAACACAGCAAATCAGAAAAGTTTGTAATTTGTATAACTCCATCTATTACGTCCTTTGTGTGAGAAAACATCCTTTTTTAAAACTCTTTTTATGTTTTAAGTATAAATATATTAATTATTATGGAACGTTTTTTTTACACACAAATCTTTTTATTACTATTTCTGAGATTTTTATGGCGCCATTGAACAAATTCGAACCTACATTTTAAAATAATAATCATTACTTTCGATAGAATTAACCAATTTTAATAAAACAAAGATTAAATGTAACTTGAAGATACGCTTTATGATTTTCTTAACGATTTCTTTGAAAAAAAAAAAGATGTTTACTTTAGACGTGATACATTCATATAAAAACAGACAGACAGACAGACAATTCTAAAAATTATAAAAATGTACAGAAAGAGACACAACATGTTATCATCATTTTTATTATATGTATATATTTAATTAAAGAGAGATGGCGCTGCTAACATCAACTTGATGACTCAAACAAAGCCACCGTTGAGCAAATTCCCTACCCATACTTCAGAATATTTATCATAACTTTTGATGGAATGAATCGATTTTAATGAAATAAAGACTAAATGTAACCCGAAGGTACACTTTAGAATTTCCTTAACAATTCTTATGATATAAATTAGTACTTTAAACGTGATACGTTAACAAACAAACAGACAGACAGACAGACAGACAGAAAATTCTAAAAATGGTAGAAATGTATTTAGTTACTTATTTTTAGTACCCCTCATTCACTTTTATTACAAAAATATAAAATGTACAGACATCTGCTATTTACAGTTTTATTATATGTATATAGATAAATTAATTTTTAGTATGTGCCAATAGAGATATATTTTAGTTTGAATTTAAAGTGCAGTTCAAATATGGAACACTTTCTTCTAATAATAAAAGTGTGTGCAAATGCACTTTTTCATCATCAATCTCTAACAGTCCACAGCAAAACATGTGATTTTCCTATTGTGGTTAAGATTAATCATAACATTACACACACTTTGAAAATCTTATTGTGATATGCCATAGTAAAATTAACTTAATATGCATTACGTTACACAGTAATGAATTATTAGTGCCGGCAATAAATAAACTAATAAAATGACGACTCCGTGCCTTAGCCGGGCCGCGGTTTCGAATTCCGCACGGAACAAGTGTTTGTATGACCTACAAATAATTGTTCCGGGTCTGGATGTTTATTCTTGTGAAATTTATGTTTGTAAACTGTCTCCACCATACAGGAAAACATACTAACGTTTAAAAAAATCGAAAAGAAAAATTTAAATCAACCAGGACTTGCTATAATCGTCATGCTTGATTTGCGATCTCAATTACAAAAATGTAACTTCAGGTTAGGATTCTACAGATATTGTCGCTTAATGGCAAGATAACACAACTAAATGTTCCTAAGACCCTTGGGCGTCTTTTAAGTACACTGTCGTTTCACTTTATGACCTATTTAAATGAGGTGATTCTGTCACAGTCTTTTAAAGGCCAAATTAATGAAGAATAAAGACTAACAAAGGGCAATGGCAGAAAAATAGTTGACAAAAATTATTGCGTCTTGAAATAAGTCATATATAAAATGAGTTTTATTATTTTTCTATGATTTTTCAAATAAAAATGTATTTTAATTAAAGCCACAGAAAAAAAAACGTTTTTGGGAATATCAAATGACTTAAATCATTTTACTCTATTCAAGTGTTGCCATTTACTATATTCATACTATTTTCGTATACACTTTGTAAGACTACCAACACAACACACAAACACAAAATATTTTTATATTAAGTTATTAGTAAACATATTACATATTACTATGATTGAGATAATATATTATAGTATACTATACTATCAGTATACTATACTATCAGTAATAATAAAAATTAAAATGATATAGTTGAAAATAAGTCTCTTACAAAGACCTTCCTACAATAATATATTATCTCAATCATAGTAATATGTAACAATTCCATTTAATGTTATGGCAACACTAGCTAAAACAAAATGTCACTGTTTTTTTTACTGGCTTTACAGCTCTGGGTTCTAGCCCTTCTGAGAGTGTCACTGTACGACACAAAGGCCCTGGAGCCATGCCAGAAATATACATTTATAGTATGCGAATATATAATAGAGTTACAATAATCTAAAAACTCTCAATTATGTAGGTAGGTACATTATGTTGAGAATGTATTAAGCTAATATCAAACAACCACAGGACGCATGACTTTTTCCAAGTGACATAAGACATAACCTTAAAAGGTTCAAATCTAAATATCTTTTTTTTGACGCCTTCTCAGTACAAAATTCTTTGACAGTTATTAAGGGCTACCATTCCTTCTCAACTAATTTTAGGTATGAAAGTTTGCCATTGTTCTTTGCATTGCTATTTTAGTAAAACTTGAAACTTTTAAACTTGAATTTATTTCTTGTGTCAACAAATTATTGCATTAAAAAAATATATGCCCCCAGACCATCAACCCAGGAAAATATGCTTTGGTGGGAGCTGCAGCGCAACTCGGAGGGGTTGTCCGTATGACCATATCATTGACGGTCATCATCATAGAGACAACAGGCCAAATATCAAATGCGTTGCCGATTATTATAACTTTGGTGGTCGCCAAATGGACGGGTGACTTCTTCAATGAGGTGTGTACAACGTTGTTTTCTGTTTTTGATACCAAACCAGAAATCATCAGAAAAGAGCTAACAAATATTTAATATGAGTGTTAAGCGTGTCACACAATGCAAATACGCAGTGAGCACATATTGTTCAATATAGCTCTCTATGAAATTCAATGAATTAACACACACAGTGTAGATAATTTATATTTTATCGTTAAGTATCTGTAAGCACCGATATATACCGAAAGATAGTGACAATATTTTCTGCTCATACAAATATGTCTGCAGATACAAATATGGTATAGGATTTTACGAGCAGATAAAAACAGGCTTGTCGCTAAAAAAAATCTATTACATTCGGTCGGTTTTTAAGCTTTATATGACGTTTTATCCAAATTCTTCGCCTTTTAGTAAATGCAACACGTGCATCAAATTCTAAATCTAAATCCTATTCTGACGAGCTGTCGCAAATCTAGAAGCAATGTATGCCAACTCATTGTAGGTAACACTCTGTATAAACAATGCGCTCCAATAATTTAAAATTAAAAGTTTTGTACAACAAACTTCAATATAAATTATTAAGAATAACTCAAAAACTATAAGTCAAACATTGATCAAATTTATATGGGACCACATGAGAAGCACCAGCTTTCAAATAAAAAAATCGTTGAAATCGAATAATCGAAATCGGTTCACCCAGAAAAAAAGTTATGAGGTAACACACATAAAAAAACATACAGTCGAATTGAGTACCGTCTCTTTTTTGAAGTCGGTAGAAAAACATGTCTTGTAAGTGTGAAGTATTTCGAGCGAATGTATCCTTCCGTATATTATCGTATCTGCGTAGTGTGTGACCCGCTTTAGTCTGTAGCGTTAACGTAACAATAACGTAAAAATAGTTCAAAAACAGAATCAGATCACTCTTTGATAGCAAACTTGCGAGTTTAAACTTGGTTACAACGTGGCTAATGTTCATAAAACTTTGCACGCCTCGGAAGTGACCTTCGTGAAATTAGCCTACCGTTTCTATCGTCGAAAAAAATTATGCATCGCGTGTATTAAATCAAAATGCACCTTACGTCCGCGTGCGAGTGTCTGTATCACTTAGCCCGTTACGCGTCTTTGTTAAGACCGCTTCTACTATAGGGTTAGGTGTTGTGAGAATACAAATTGAATCCTTTGATATTAGTTGGTTACACCGAGGTAAAAACTTTATTTAACGTAATAAAACTATTGTTCAATGTGAGGAAGGTTAATACGCAACATCGAGGAAAATTAAGATTATAACAACGTGAACGTCTTTAAAACTCAGATAATTTACCTACTTACCATTTTTAACCGGCTTCAAAAAAAGGAGTAGGTACTTAACTCGACTGTATTTTTTTTATGTTCTTTAGAACTTTTTTTAGGTGAATCGATTTTGTTTATTCTATTTTTATTTGAAAGCTGATGCTTATAATATATACATCCCATATAAATTTGATCAAGATCTGACCAGTAGTCCAGCTGCCCTTAGCACTGCAACTCATTACTAAGCCACTGCGTCACGGAGCCGCTGTCTATCTGTTTCAGATTTTTTGCTATTTATAAACATGCGACACGCGACTTCATTATTAATGAAAGAGTGGCAATGAGAAGTGCTGCTACTTTCAATCTCTTTCTTTTATTGATCAAGTGTTAAACTAATAACCAGTATATGCTAATGTGGCATTAGTAGGCAGTCACTAGTGTGGGAGGTCTACTTACACTGTACGAATTTTTAAGATCATTGGCATTATACGCGAAAAAATCGAAAACTGCGAATCTGTGGTCGGGTCAGTAATCAAATAATAAATCTGTAACTATGGCGTCAGTTACTAATTTCGGTATCCTTAAGAACAACAAAGTATGAAAAGTCGACATTCCTATTGTTATTTAAGCACCCGTATGCTATGCAGTACCTTTTAGCTTTTTGAAAGGCCATACTTGAATAAAAACTCAAAAATAATAATCAAAAGTGCCTAAAATACTTATAGAAGAAAATAACTTTTATATTAACGTAAGGCGCGCGTCAGCTCGAGCGCGCGCGTAACAACCTCACAGAATTAGCCTCATGTATACGGCCGCGGAGCGTAGGTATATTTTCATGCCTAAAGCGCGGAGTGAGACAGGCCTGCTACTACTAACAGTCGGTCATCGAAGGCGTCTAAACGGGACAATTATGCGGTTGTCCTGTCACGCAAATAAATTAAAATGGTTCACACTACATGTGGAAGGAAGAAATTAGTGTCATTAGTTTCCACATACACGTTAGTTTAAACGTGAAATAAAATAAAATCAGTTTTTTATTTTTTATTACTTCTCGTTCTGACAACCCTAGCAATTTATTGTTTGTCTATTTTTCCGACAACATCAAACGCGATGACTGACTGTATGTTCTTCTTAGGCTGTGTTTTAACCGAGCATTTGTATGAATCGCGCGCAGGGCATCTACGACATCCACATCCAGCTGGCGGGTGTGCCGCTGCTGGGCTGGGATCCACCGCCGCTGACGCACACGGTGTACGCGTCCGAGGTGATGTCGCACCCGGTGTTCACGCTGCGCACCGTCGAGAACGTCGGTCACGTGCTCGAGTTGCTGCGCCTCGTCTCCTACAACGGCTTCCCCGTCGTCGATCCGCCGCTCTCCGACGAAGTCAGTGCATCTAGTCGTCACACATACATCACCCACTGAAACACTCACAAACACGCTAGTATATAACTGATATTTATCGATAATAATTATGTCCTCCACACCGAATATCGCTCACGGCGGCCAGCCTTAACGAAGATTAGTCATCTGCGCAGGATAGGATCATAGTGCCAGAGTGTATGCGCAAGCACTATCTATTCCCTCACTCTCATAGTCCGATGTGACGGTAAACTGAGATCAGGCGCAGGACCAACAGTTTTATGTGCTTTCCAAGACACGGAATAGAGATACCGCCAACTTCCTGACTCCAGGCAGCTACTGAGAATTTCATGACGGAAAAACTCAATAACTGATTTTTGGTCCGATCCGAGATTCGAACCAGGGAACTTTATGATCAAAAGTTGCGTTTACGACCTCTAGATCAACGAGGCAGCCAAACCTGTTAATATAACCAGAATCTGAATCTTAATAAGTAAAAGCTTCCGTTAAGGACCTTTACTTCTCTATTCTATGTTACGATTGAAATAATTATAAAAATAATATTTTCCAAAAATTTCTTTTCTCAACATAGAATCAATAAAATCAGTATTGATTAGCTATTTTGGCATTGGAACCAGTAATAAGGTATGAAAAAATTCAAACCATTATTTTTATGAAAATTATATTATTGTTACGAACTTGGGGTTCCAGACAATTAAAAACTGCAGATTGAATTACCAAAATTGACACTTTTATTAGAGAACACTAATTACAACTTAACACCACACTAATAATAAACACATTTGTACTACTGATCACTTTAGTTCGCAGTTGTATCGCTTCGAAGTATTCGTTTCTATCGCCAATTCAATACTGCCCCGTTCGCGGTCTATACCGTCCTTATATAAGGCCTCAGGTAGTTTCCAGAACCTTCTACTATAGAAACTTCTAGAATGTTCGAGTACATATCGGTCCCGATTGACTAGATGTCGATAGTTCTAGAAAGTTCTTCTATGGAAATTTCTAGAAGGATCTTGATCTCCTAGTTCTGCTACTCGATACTAGAGGGCGCTAATGGTGACTAGTGTTGCCATGTACCTTCCATTAATTGTGGCGCGCAACATTATTTTTAATGTCGATTGTCAGTGCAATTTTGCTATTGATAACGAAAGTTTAGAAGTTAGTTTTAGACTACCCCAGGAGGGTACCAGCATCCCTGGAGAATCCATCGTTGAGCATCCACGACCAAGCTACTCTACTTCTGAGCGTAGGTGCACAGGCTGCCCCTAGTATTCGGGGGAGGAAAATTCCGCTCAAAACAATAACTGCTCGGGGCAAACTGACCCACAAGACCATGGCGACCCCTGCCTCGAACCTGAACGCCTTCACTACCATCTCGAGACGGCGAAGCCGGCTTTGCTCTTTCTGACCGAGACGCAGGTGTCCTCTCCGGCTGATACTTCGTATTTCTCCTACCCGGGGTACAAATTGGAACACTCTTTTGTGCCTCGGACTGGAGTTTGCGTATACTTCTAAAGGACATCTGTTCTCGACGCCTCGGCAGTCTTGAAGGTTCGGACCTGTCCATCCTTTGGCTACGCGTAGACGGCGTCGACCATCCGTACGTCTATGGGTGCTTCTACACGTCCCATAGTAGTCATGCCGATACAGACCGACTCATCGACAACGTCCAAATGCCTACAGATTTTTTGCTACAACAGATCCCATCCGTAGAGATCATGATACTTTGCGATTTTAACGCCCACCACGCCGAATGGCTCGGTTCACGTATAACCTATCATGCTGGGAGATCTATTTATGATTTTGTCTTGGCATATGGTCTGACACAACTGGTTACTACGTCTACGCGGATTCCAGATGTGGAGGATCATGCACCTTCCCTGTAGGACCTTCTGCTGACCTCTTATCAGGACAAACATCAGGTCTCCGTCGGCGCCCCTCTTGGCTCCTCGGACCATTGTTTAGTCCAGAGAGTGGTGCCACTCACGCCGAAATCGCGCTTGCTTTCTGCAGGCTGCCGCCGTGTTTGGCACTATAGGTCGGCCGATTGGGCCCCCCCGAGCGGGTACCCGCCTTGTCGTGGCGGGAGGGGGGGGGGCTTAGTAGCCGTGGCTTGATCACCCGCGGTGAACAAAGAGGAACCCCTTGGCTGGCCCGTGGTGTAGGGCCGGCCCGAGGTGGCCACTCATAGTGGGCTTGGCGAGCCCACTTCGGATGTGTGTCGGTGGACTGCGGCGAGAGGGGTGCCCTCTCCCCCTACCGCAACAGCCGAGGTGGAGTTGCATCGGAAGGGGAGTGTTGATAATGCCAGGCACCACTCTCCCTACCCTCCGCAGCCGAATCTTGGCTGGCGGCGGAGCCATAGACCAGATCCGCCGCTGGGGTCAGGAAGGCTGGTGCTTCTGAGTGATAGTTTTCCTGGCCCCATGGCCTTAGCGCATCGGACACGGGGCGTCCGTTACGCATGTGAACCTGCAAGCTGCGGAGGAGGGCGCGCCATATGTTCTTGATCGTCTTACCTGAGAAGGAGATGAGAAAGGAGTAGTTCTCTTTCGAAGAGGGGCCGCCATGGGGCGGCCAGCGCTGGTGGGGCCGCGGATGTGTGCGAAAGGGTTCCCATGGCCCTGCCAATATGCGATGAAGATGGAACACCATGGGGTTTTAGTCGGTGCGAGTCCGACATAACCCGCCCGTCCTTGCCCCCTCGAGGCGGGTATGCGTAGGCATTTCCCCATGTAAAAAAAAAGGTCGGCCGATTGGGATGGGATGCGGTCTTTCTTAGCATCCTACCCTTAGGGGCGGGTTTGCTTCTCGCCGGACGATCACAACGTTGTTGCTAATTCTGTTGCTGATGTGGTACTTCATAGTATGGAACTTTTTATTCCTTACTCTGTGGTGCCCATCAGAGGCAGCATCTCAGCCATGGTTTGGTCGCTTCTGTAAAATAGCATCACGCTATAAGCAAGAGTACTACCGGGCCTGGGCTGACACATCAACGTCTCGGGATGTAAACACCTGCGCTTTTAAAAAGAAGTATAATTCCGCCTCCAGGTCTTTCAAAAGCGTCATTGCCAAGGCAAGGTCTGAGCACATCGGCAGAATTGGCGAGAAGCTAGTTCGCCTTCCTTCGGAAACCCGTGCATTCTGGTCTCTCGCCAAGGCTGTCCAAAGGAACTTCTGTCAGCCATCTCTTCCATCTCTCAAAAAGAAAGCCTATCTGCTAGGCTCTCTTTTTGCGTCTAACTCGACTCATGATGACGGGGGGACCACAACGCCGTCCATCCCGCGGCGTGAGTGCTCCATGCAGAATGTGCTGTTTACACAGCGGTCACTGCGCAAAGCCCTCCTCTCCCTTGACATTGAGTCGAGTGACGTACAGTTTCGTGGTTACTTGGAAGAGAAGGCCAAATTAACCTCTAAAAAGCTTGGCGTGCTCAGCAGAGCGGGACAGTATTTCATGCCGGCACACTGCTTGCAACTTTACAAAGCGCAAGTTCAGCCTCAGAATAGAATAGAATAGAATATTTTTTATTCAATATACATTACATGTGTAATTCTTATTGAAAGTCATTTTTTACTTTACCACTGGTTCGAAAAAAACTTTCTGTCCTGGGAAGAACCAGCAAGAAACCCAGCGGGACTTTTATTTTTAAATAAATTTTACAATATAAATGGTTACGAACTATTTACAAAATTTATTTTAGGAACTGCTTGGAAGCGACCACCTCATTCCCAGGGGTTATTATCAACCATGTATTCATTTATACTATCTCTTTTTATACAGTTTCAGCTTAATAAAACATTTAAACTTGGTAATGGAGAGAACCTGTACACTTTCCGGGGCCTTGTTGTAATAGCGTATACATTGCCCCAAGAATAAATTACTGACTCTGTGGAGTCGAGAAACTGGCATCACTAGCTTGTGTTTGTTCCTAGTGTTTACAGAATGTATATCACTTTTTTTACTAAAACTATCTTTGTTTTTGTGAACATACATTAAATTTTCGTAAATATACTGAGAGGCCAAAGTTAATATATTAATTTCTTTAAATTTATCTCTAAGAGACTCTCTCGGTTTTAGATTGTAAATAGCTCTAATGGCCCTCTTCTGTAAAACAAAAATATTTTCTGAATCAGCTGCATTTCCCCATAGCAAAATCCCATAAGACATTATGCTATGGAAATAACTAAAATAAACTAATCTAGCTGTCTCGACACTAGTGAGACCTCTAATCTTTTTTACAGCATAGGCTGCTGAACTCACATGGGATATTGTTCCCATCTCAGGGCTGGGGCTCCCCAGTGCCAGCTCCTTCCACTTGACCACATCCAACGCAGAACGGCTCGAATCGTCGACGACCGAGTTCTTTCCGATCAGCTCGTTTCACTGGCGCTGTGAAGAGATGTTGCATCTCTTTGCATTTTCTTTCGCATTTACCACGGGGAGTGCTCTGAGGAATTGTTCCACCAAATTCCACACCATCTGGATGCTTGGCGGTCCACCACTGTACGTTTCACTAGGAGTTTTCTTCCGCGTACGATCTCTCTGTGGAATAGCTTACCACCGACAATTTTTCCGGACCGATACGACTTCAAGAAAAGAGCTTACTCCTTATTAAAAGGCCGGCAACGCACCTGCGATTTCCATGGTGTTGCAGTTGTTCATGCGCGGCGGTAGTCACTTACCATCAGGTGATACGGCTCACCTGTTTGTTCGCTCCCTCTCCTATATAAAAAAAAGTTATTGATGCCACAAGACGGGAATTGAAGAATTCCATAGAAGCGTTTTTCAGCTTCATCGGAGTTGAAAAAGTTGAAATTTTTCCCCTATAAAAAGTTATCCAAATACCGAAGAAAATTAAAACATTAGAAACAAGGTCTGGTGCGTGAATTTAGACAGTCCATTCCACAGTTAGTGGAGTGGCATGGTCGGACAGTAGTTTATTTTTATAGAAGACGGGGTTTTTAACTAAATTGCGGCTTAGCTCATAGTAGACTAGAGCGTCTGACATCGAGATTATCCATCGTCAAATTATAATACTTGGCAGTGTAACTTTGCTAATTGACCTACTAGAACTAGGCCTATATTATTATTATTATATTACAGTAATAAGCCACCATTTTACTCAATTTGCCTCAATCCAATTATTGCGGCAATCATTTCCGATTATCATACAGGATTGTTGATTGATTGTTGTAGAGTCGGCGACATAAAAACTAATGAGCAAGCAATTGGATTTTGTGGCTTTACCATTGAGATTTTTTTTAATTCAGCGGATATCACACTTAAAACAACCAATATCACAGATTAGAGTACTTAATAGTACAAGGTTGAAGGAGCACTCCGCAAAACATTTGAAAACTACTTTTGCTTAGCATGAAAGTGCAATTTAGCTCGCACAACACTAAGTGCCTAATATTATATTATTTTTCTTTCGCGTAGGTCTTATCTCTTCTGACGCACCCCGTGTAACCTTAGGTCTTCTTATGACGAATCATTCTTACAACACGAACAAGAAATAGAATAACAATACGTAACGACGTCCGCCGACATTCCGGGCGGCAGGCAGTTTTGAAAGACGAAATGGTTATATTATGTTAAATAGTTTGTTTAAAATTAAGTAGATACCCACATTTTATTGTTAGAAATTATAAAAAAATATTAAAATCAAAATATTTTATTCAAACAATTAAGTATCTATTAGAATTTATAATTATATATTTCTACAAATTTCCAAGTGTTTTTTTTTCCTATTTTGCTTGGTTTTTAATAGTTTATTATTTCGTTTTATCGTATCTAAACTTTATTAAATAATAATCAATTGGAAAACGGTGGCACGGCATTTCAAAAGTACAAAAAAAAACAAAAGAATTTCTTGTAGAACATTTGTATTTTTATCAATAATTAAATCATTTTCCATTAATTAAACAAAACTAAACGTCCGCGTCGTGTCGCTGCCAGTGGCACACCTTAACTTTGTCCGCTCACTGAGCGGGCTCAACCCGGTTTGTACGCTAGCTGGTGACGGTGCACGCCCCCCGTGTCTTATCGGTGACAAGTCACGCACACATAGCTGTGCTTGTAGTAGTGTAGTAGTCTCGCGCACGGCTGTAATATGAGGCTTTCATTCGGCTCGATTTTATATTCTTGTGGTTCGGAATACGCCTGGCCTGCCAGTGTTACAAATGGCAATTGTATGTCTCTAACTAATGGGCGACTAAATGATGATAAATGATGAAAGCAGACATATATTTATTACTTCAGCAATTAAAATGTACAACATAATAACTAAGAATGATTTAATAAAGAAATACTCTAATACATTGACCTACTACTAAATGGACCTCGGGTCCGCGCTCAAGCCAAAAGAGTTCCAAAATGCAAAAAGTAATATTTTGCTTAAATACATAGCGTATTTAATTCAAATTCATCTTAATTGTAAAAAGAAATAACCTTACCTATAAATTTTCGTTTAAAGCTGCATAAGATGAAATAGTGCGACCTTTAGTCGAAGTTAATAAGCTGATAAATTGTCGCAAGTAAAATTGAGCAGTTTTCTAAGGACAATATGGTTTGAATTTGAATGTTATAGTTTCTTTTATATTTCTATACATGTACCTACGCTTATATAGGTTGACTCGGGATAAATTTTTCGTGAATTTTCTTCTAGACCAGCCGTCCATTTTAGAAGTAGGTCAATGTTCTAATATAATTAACTTTTTAAATTTATTATTGTGTTTATAGGTCGAAGTGACAACTTACAAACGTCTAAGAGGTCTGATACTGCGTTCACAACTGATAGTGCTCCTTCAAAACAAAATATACAACGAGAATGCTAATACAACTTGGTCAAATTTAAACGTGGACATGCAAATGTTCCGAAATGAATATCCACGGTTTCCTTCTATTGATGAGGTAAGCTTTTTAAAATGCGATTATCAATTTAATCATCATCATCATCATCATTACAGCCCTTCACAAGTCCACTGCTGAACATAGGCCTCCCCCAAGGAATGCCACAAAGCACGGTCCTGAGCCACCTGCATCCATCGAGTTCCTGCATGTCTTACCAGGTCGTCACTCCATCTAGTGGGGGGAGTGTCGCCCTACATTTCGCCTACCGGTACGAGGCTGCCACTCGTAATCAATTTAATAATTTATTTTAATTGGGATTCACGTACCGCTTTTTAATACCAGTGTAAAAGTGCTACTAGTGGTGGTGTATTCGCTACTTATCATCCCGTGTGTGTCGTAAGAGGCAACAAAGGGAAACTGAACAGGGAGATGAGCAGCTGAATAAAAATAACAAGCGTGGTAAATGTGGCAAATATCCTCCTATGATAAAATCTGGGAGAGGCCTATGTCTATGTTAGACTTAGGCTATAGTGGTAGGACTAACACTGCTCCAATAACGACAATTGTGTCGATTTACAAAACCATTAAAATGGAAATGGCCTCCGTTTCCATTTTAATTATATCCAGAAAAAAGGATGTCAAAACTAGAATATCGTTCAAGCATTTCTTCAGCAAACGCCAATCTTACTCTGGAGTCATTCTAATTGAATCATATACGGATGCAGTTTAAGATCCATGTTCAAAATTCTTTGCAAACTTCTTCGCGATAAATATAAAATGTGTGGTAAGACGCTGGTGGTTTTTTTCGTAATAACTGCTTTACTCTCTCAATATTGTCTGCGGTCCTAGATGTTCTAGGACGACCTATACCTAGTGTTCTAAATGTTGAACCGGTCTCTTGAAAAGGCTTAATTCAAATTTTAATAAAATTTGCAACTTTTTTTTTTAAAATTCGGAGCTTAACGAATTTGTTGTGATCTATATTCAGAACAATATAGTTGCCTAGTTGTGATTAAAGAACTACTATTCTCGTAAAACGTGCGTACGCAAAATGCGCGACGATTCCCGTCGAACTGATTCATGCTCCTAAAGCTGCACCAGTACCGCTACCCATACACTCTATGTTCCCACCCTACGCGCATCCCAAACTCCACGAAAAAAGATGGTGCAATATGCACGTTCTATTGCGCCAACCTGTAGAATGGAATAATTTTTAATTAATATAGATTATAAATAATTTGATGATGATGAAAGTAATTTTTTATTTTGACCACCGGTTCGGAATAAACCAGGAAGAAATCCAGCGGGACATTTTTTTCACAGAAATATTATTATATACGTATATTTAATATGTAAAAAATAATTTTTGTTTGTTCGTATTTTATGCGCTGCCATACCGTTCATCAGATTGCGGTAAACCTTTGTCAACTTATTGCTTGCACTTCAAACAAATTTATTTAAGTTATATATCATCGTCATTATCATGCCTAATTAAAAAATATAACTCTTCCAAATTAAGTAAATAAAACGATATTTCCACAATTATTTCTTCTGCGGCGGCAACGCGCCGGGTACCAGCTAGTAAAATATAAAATAGGTTGTACAATGATTTACAACACTACAAAATTTACAATTTTATATAAGAAACAAGTTGGAAGCTATCACTTCATTCCCAAGGGTTATTATCAACCATGCAATCACTTATATTACATAGACCTGTATAAATCCAGAAAGACCTCTATCGTTAGAATGTATTATACCGTATTAAAAAGTGAGCATAATTATAGTAGTCAGTATAGCAAGCAGAGCTGCCTACTGTGTGTTCCATCAGATTGTGTGTGTTTTTAACAAATTCCTTTGAGTGTTATGTTATGATTCTTCTTGATTACAAATAGTTTAGCTGACTGGTCCTATAGTAATTCAATTTAAATTTTGTTTTCAGCTGGTGATAGAGGAATGGGAGAAATCCTGTACTATAGATCTGCGGCCTTTCATGAACCCATCTCCTTACACATTGCCGCATCGTGCTTCTTTGCCCCGTCTATTCAGATTGTTTAGAGCTTTAGGATTGCGGCATCTGCCAATTGTAAATGATGTTAATGAGGTATGTATAATTTATTCTTATTTTTTACCTATTATATATTATACGAATGGTTTTTATGAAATTTCATTCATTCTTACTTTTTTAGGAATAGATAGCAAGTATTCATAAAACAGCTATAATCATCATCTTCACCATCATCATCACAAGTCCACCTTCAAAGACTGTTTCAAAACATTTTTTACACCATCTGCATCCATCGACTTCCTGCATGCCTTACCAGGTCGTCACTCTATCTAGTAGGGGACAGGCAAAATTCCGCTTACCGGTACGAAGCTGCCACTCAATAACCTTTCTTCCCCAGCTATCGTTCGTTCTTTAAGCTATATGGCCAGCCCATTGCCAGCTTACTAATCATTTGGCCAGTGACGGTTACATTTTTGTTCTATTGCGCATATTTCATTACGTATTCTATCGCGCAGAGAAATTTCGAGAATAGCCCTCTCAATAGCTCGTCGAGCGACCTTGAGCTTCCTCATTCGGGCATTAGTGAAAGACTATGTCTCGGGATCCATATGTCATGACTGGCAACACGTACTGGTTTTAAATTTTTGTTTTCAAAATTTGTGGAATGCTAGCTGTCGAGCCAAGTTAGATCGATTGTTCGTACAATTTTTCCTAGATAAACATACCCAACAACTACTTTGAGCATAGTGTTTCCAACAACTACCGCCATGGGCGTGACATGAACGCTGCACATAATCTTTATCTTGTTCTTGTTCATTTTAAGTCTGTTGAGAGACTATTGAGGTAATTAGACATCGTACTAAAGTACTCCAGTGGTTGAGCTATAATGCCTATATCGTTAGCGAAGCGAAGTTGAGCAATTTATTCGCCTTTGATAACATCAGTTCTTCATCAACCATTGCAGTACAGTATCCTTAAAAAATTACCACCGCCGTCATGGCTAGAACAAATCCAAATCTAATAACATATCGGGTATTAGTGAAACGCTCCCGAACACGAGGACTGGCGATAATACTAACGATACCTTTGATTATGGGTCAGAAAGAAATTGGATCCGGAGGCAAAAAAAATATCTTTTCACAACGTTTTATTAACTTTATACACGCTCCATCATGTTAGTACAGCTAAATGAAACGGTAATTTCATAAGAAAAGCATGAAAATACTTAAAGATAAAACCAGCAGTGGAATTACAATCAGCTGACTAGGGGTCAATGTACGCGCGTAATGTAATTTACAACACTTGTCTAAATACCTAACTTATCTACTTAACCTACTATTTTGCCACTGTGCTTGTCTCCACCTAGCCACTTTAATTCAAATTCAAACCTGGTTCGATTCCCCGCTAATGAAAAAATTACTTAAATGAAACGTTAACAAGGTTAGAGTCATGCTTTTTATCCATCGTGTAGGTATGTATGTTTATTATTCTAATGTATTCAGTTATGTACCTATTCAGATGAGTTCAGTACTAAGTTATTAAAAAAAATTAGGTATGAAACAGCTTAGCGGTCTAAATCCTTCGTGGCCTTATGAGATTCTTAAAGGCACATTAACATGTTGCCGTATTCACGAGCATAATAAACGTACCTACGCGTTAGGCATTATTAAAACAAAACGAGAAACACAAAACGTAACAACAAGTAACAACAACAAGAATTTAATAAACAAAACGATTGAACTGTCGCTCACGCGCACGTGATAATCAACAGAACTGTCTCGAAAACTAAAATTAATAATCAATCCCGCCAAAACAAATGCCTCGTGCGTCGTAACATCCTTGAAGCACTGATCGTTTCCACAGACCGTTACGACATTGCCAACGTTTATTTTATTTATAAGTTTAGTTATCCCTACGACTAGTCTTCATATGGAATTTAGAAGTTATGGTTGTCATTTTTAATACAATACACAATCAAGTGTACCGACGCAACAAGCAGTTCTATACTACAAAAATTATATTGAAATTAATAAACGTACCTAATTGGGTACTCAGTACTCACTTAACCCTAGAGTACTAATCATCGCCTGACAGGCCACCAGCGGTTGGCTTTTGCTGGTTATTTTTAAATTGCGGGGACGTATCGCGCCATGCACTTGCGCCAACTATATGTAGTCCGTGACGCGGAGGGCAGTGTTTGCGCGCTCGACTGGGTTAGACCATTGCCAAGATATAGCCTATGTGATCGCCTGGGAGGCGATTATTAGTATTAAAGGTAGGTCTTTTACTGTTAACTTATTTTACATTTCTGAATGTTTCTTTGTTTATTGACTACTAGCTGTTCCCCGCGACTTCGCTTGCGTGTTAGGGTTTTTGTGTTTTTGCGCGAAACCCTAATTATTTTTCTAAAATAAAAGTAGCCTAAGTTACTCCTTATGAAATCAACTACCTGCCAGTGAAAGTCCCGTCAAAATCGGTCCAGCCGTTTCGGAGATTAGCCGCAACAAACAGACAGACAGACAAAAATATTAAAAATGGTGTAAAAAGCTTTAATTTTGACATTACAAACAGACACTTCAATTTTATTTATTTGTATAGATTATAAAGTATAAAATACATATTATTTGATAGATGGACCTCATCGAGGAGCAGATTGCAAATTTCATACAAGAGAACTTCTCTGACAGTGAGACCGAGGATAATTTAGAAGTCGCGGATTGCGATTCCGTTGACAATGTGGCTGGTCGTACTTTATTTCTACACAGACCAGAATATGACTTAAAAGTTTTGTGCTAGATGACCTATATTCTCAAGACCGAAGCTTTCTAGTACCGTCAACATCCAGAAACCCTAATCCAGTTTTACCAGTTCCTAACTGCCATTTCTGTGATAAAAATAGAAGATTTAAGTTTAAATTAGTCTGTAGTAAACAATGTGATGATTAGAATAATTTTTAGTAATGTTTTTTTTTTCAAACTTTATATATTATATTTTAGCTTTTATACCAAAATAGTGGTCCTTGAGAAGAAAGGTTTACTTTCTCTAAAGGTTTACTTTTTTAAGTTTACTTAAACTTTAATAAAAGTTTAATACTAATAATTTGTTGTATTTATAAAGTAGCCTCCCAGGCGATCATTAGTATTAAGTAGAATTAAATTTATGTTGTACTCTAGGGTTAAACAATTATAAACACTATTTCATCGTTTTCTTTGATTTTGTATAAGAAAATAGAAATGAAATGGTACTGAATAATTTAATAGTTAAAATCAACTGCAGTTATGATCGACAGTTAATTAATCTATCAGAATTAATGTAAAAAATAATACTTTTACTTTATTTTAATTGACTTTCCATATTTTAATCCGACCAATACTTTGAATTTAAACAGAGGTACGTCATAATTATTAAAAATTACTTGCAAGTTTTATAGTGATTGCCGCCTCTAATTCTTATGTCGCCGGCAAACAAATCTTCACAGGTAAATTTCGGTGCAACATAGCAGCATTGCCAACACCAATTTGTCAAATTACCCGAAAATGCATGTCAATTTCCCCGATTTAAGGACAAAACTTCAACAGATTCCCCACAAATTCCCCTCAATTATATTTTAAGAAATGAAACAATTTTCAACTAATTTTATAAGATTTACTCTTTAAGTAACAATTTTTTTTCTTTAAAATTAAAAAATAAAGAAATGAAAAGCATTAAATGATACACAAAAGTTGCCGAAATAAATCCGAAAATTCTATGTGCAATAAAGATAATTAAAAAAAGGGAGTCATTCGATATTCATAAGTAACCTAACAAAATGTTAAGATAAGTATTTAGATTTCTTGCAAAAAAAGTTCTGACTTGGCCCTGGCTATCGATTTTCAAAATCCCCGTATGTTCTCCACATAATACCAATCCCCATAAAATCTCAAACCAACTTTAAACTCTCCGCAATTTTGAGAAATCCCCACATGTTGACAAAGCTGACATGTGTAAATTCCACAGCGCGAGGCGACACGAGCCGGCCGGGCGGCTGTAGCGCGTGTGTAAAGGGAAGGGTAGAGTGAGTAGGCATTGTTTCGCATCGAGCTAGATAAGAGTTCGGCGTCCACGAGAATATTGACCCTATTGTCAGCTGATTTCATTTTAAGTTTCACTGCTGGTTTTATGTTTAAGTATTTCCATTTTTTTAATGAAATTATCGTTTCATTTAGCTGTACTAACATGAGGGAGCATGAACAAAGTTTATAAAACATTGTGAAAAGATGATTTTTTTCCTCGGGATCTAATTTCTATGTGATCCATCATCAAAGGTATCGTTAGTACTATCATCTGTCTTCGTTTTCGGGAGAGTTTCACTAACACCCGGTATACTATGAAAGATAAGAGTATAACAATAGCTATTTAGATGTGTTTATGTAGGTAAAAAAGGTATTTTATTTTTAATTTTGTATTCTTTGTTTTAGGTTGTTGGCATGGTAACCCGTAAAGACATAGCCCGGTACCGAGTTTGGAGGCACCGGGGTCATATGGGAATGGAAGAACTATTGTTATCTAGTGAAATTTAAATTAAGTTTGACCCAAATATATTATTTATTTTCTAGTTACTTTTGCCTTATACAGGACTAGGACTAAATAAAAAAACAATCAAAATTTTAATATTATATACAATAAAAAATTTATGTTTATACTTATACTTTATATTTATACTTTAAACCCAAACCAAGTCTGGAAGAGGCAGCACAAGTAGTTGTTATTCTTGTGAAACTTAAATGCACCTGAGGTGTGCAGAAGTATACCTATGCTTTTATAGGCAGTGAGGGGAAGTATATGGTAAATAATTTTTGATTTAAAAATTTTAAAAAAAAAGTTTCAACAAACTAGATATTTTTATATAGACATAGTTTTTTTTTTACTAATATTAATTAAAATTGTTGTATTGTGTCTGTAAACAGGGTTATTTTGCAATAACCGGCCAAATTTACAGAGGACATTCAGAATAAGTAGTATAGTCAAATTGTGAAGAAAAATTAATTTTAAAAAATCTCAAACATTCTGTCCTTTTTATCTTTTAAATTCAAAATGCGTAGTAATACATTATTTTAATTGATTGTCTACTATTTTACTACGCATGCTCGTAAGAGTTGATCGGTAGGCGAAAACGTGAATTGAATCGCACACAGGGGAGCGGACGTACGCATAGTTGTTGCCCATACATCACAATTTCAAATAAAAGTACAAGTCCTGTTTACTCGTATTTTTAAAAACTGCAATAGCGGTATATCATTATTTATATACTAGCTGTTGCCCGCAACTTCACTCGCGTGTAGTTTAGGGTTTTGATTTTGTTGCGCGTAACCCTAATTATTATTCTAATATATAAGTAGCCTAAGTTACTCCTTATAATATGAACTATCTACCAGTGAGTCCCATCAAAATCGGTCCAGGCGTTTCGGAAATTAGTTGGAACAAACAAACAGACGGACAGACAGACAGACAAAAATTTTAAAAATTGTGTTTTTGTTATAGGTACCGTATATACTTTTATATGCAATTAGTAAAAATCTATTATTTTGACATTACAAACAGATACTTCAATTTTATTTATTTGTATAGATTTGAACTTAAATTCAAAATTTAGCTACTCTGAAAAATAACCCTGTATATTTTGGAGTAGACGAAAATGTCCGAACCGAAAATTCTGTGCAGTCAGACGAATCTTCCTAAATCTTCATCATCATCATCAGCTCGTAAATCTTTTGCTATACATGGACCTCTCCTGTAGTAGGAAGAATTTGCCTTAAATTATATAAAAAGGACAACACTGATCAGTGTGTCCGTGAGTTTGCTCAAAAGTCCCAACTTTTAGATAATTAATATGAAATTATAGGTATAATTTAGCAGTGTAGTTGTAATTATTAATAGGAAATGTTATATTGAAAGCTGGTTTTTTATTTTTTTTAGATATAACTACTATTTCTAGGATCTTCTCCTGTAATGTAGAAGTGATTTACATATATAAATTACGCACCGACAAACATCCGAAACTGGAACAATTATTTGTATGTTTCTTGAAAAATACCAAATCATACGATCTTAATTAAATAATTTAAGCGACAGCAACCTAATGCGCTGCGGACCAACTCAAAAAGTCGTGGATTCAAATCCGCTAATCTAATATTGATGTAAGCTTCACTAGTTTCTTACATTAACATAAACAAATGAACAAGCAATCACACTACGATTTATATTATATACATTTTTTATATTATAAACATACAACTAATTTCTAAATAGTTAGAATTTATATAAACTTACGATAAAATATATTTTTGTTACAATCCTTTAAATTTAACAGTAATCGGGTTGTAAATAACTGTGTTAATTGAAAAACCTTTCTTTCAGAAAAATATTTTAATGTACACAATTATAATATACACACTGTTCTTTCCTGGCTGCGCTCGCGTGTCTGCCGCGCTCCATCTGTCTCTTGTTTTATAATCTGAAAGATTTGACTTTTCGTCATACTTGGCAAGCGGTTTGATGATTTTCTCACACCGTTAATATTTTTATCACAATGCTGGAACACGTAGCGGTCATCGAGCATGAAGACCAACTTCATGCATCCTCCTTCGCACGGTTTGGTCGCTTATAAGCAGCTGGTGGTCCTCCTGGAGCTATTGTAGTAGTTGCATCGCTGTGATTTTGGGTTGTCTTCTGGCGGTCATTTGGAGAAATCGATCCTGTCTCTGCGTAGTAACACGACATCTACCCGTGTGCCGTTCAGTCATATTCCCAGTACTGCGATAACATAACCACAACCTTAATATCACGTTTTGGCTGGTGTGTAGAGCCTCAGTAACGACGTGTTGAATAGCACTATTTTCTAACATTCGCACGGCTCGTTACATTTAATCTCAACTCAAAAGACATGACTCTTAAGGCTCACACGGTACGTTAAATTAAAAAAGAAAAACAATCTAACACCTTTTCATTAATTAATATCAGTAGAACAATTTTAATTTTCTTTGACGTAACGAATTACTAACAATTTTACCGTCGTATTTTTTTCTTTTGTTTTGTTTGATTTAGGCCGGCCACATACATACGGAATTCCGTTTCGATATTCCGATTCGGGATTCCGAACGCAGCAAGTCCATATAAAATCTATGACCCGCCACACACGTACGTTATTTTTCCGTACGGAATTTCTCCGATTCGAGATTCCGTATGATCGTCTGTGCGTTCGGAATCCCGAATGGAAAAAAGCCGCTCCGAACGCACGTCTTCCATAGATTTTGTACGAGTCGCAACACACATACGTAAATTCCGTACGGAATGCGCTCAGTGTTCGTCGCACGACCGAAGCGAGTAGGTGTATTTATGTATGTTTTTAAATTTAATCTTGTAGGTGTATAGCTTTTCGTAACCTTTCATCTTATTTTATTTAATAATTCCTCGATAGAATTTACATACATAAATATTTAAAAAATATCTCTGGATAGATAGATCTTTTTACATAGTATTGACTATATTGCAAGCTTAGGGTGATAAGGGGATGCGCCAAGTAAGAATGATACAGCAACAATGTAATTTGCAATTAGAAAATCGTCGTCATTATTCGCTGGCAGAATGTCTCGACTCAATGGCTAACGTCTCTCAACTGACCCTTGTTATTCCGAACGGAAAAAAAACGTGTGTGTGTGATGTATGCACGGAATCCCGAATCGGGATTCCGAAACGGAATCTCGAAACGGAATTCCGTATGTATATGGCCGGCCTTACACTTAAATTTTGAAAATAGAATAAAAGAGGTTTCGTTCTGTATATAAACTTTTTATGAAAACTTAAAAGATTTTAAACTATAAAGTCTTTATAGTTTATATATAGGTATCCCTAGATTCTGTTGAAGTGTGTATATTGTGTAATGAGTATTGAATTCCTCTTTGGTTTAGTAGTCGCAAGTGTGACTGCTGATAATGAGGTCCCACATTCCAATACTGGGTCGGGTCAAAAAATCAGTTGGGTTTTATTAACAGATTCAGTGCGGATGGCACGCCTGGAGTGCCATAGATTACTTTTGTGTGTGGCGTATGACACACGAGTCGTGTCTTTTTAAAAATCGTTATAACTCGTTCAAATTGCGTTTTTGGAAAATTTATCCAGAACAAAATATTAATTTTTTTGCAAGTAGTTCATGCCTACGTCTTCGTTTCTGGATATTTTGAAATTTGACATTTTTAGGAGTTGACAACCTTTTTTTAACTTGTACATGGTACTTTTTTTACTTTGTTGGTTTTCAATCATGCTGTGGAAAAATAGTCTAATAAGTAACAAATAATAGCACTCATTGCGATCGCTCACAAACTCGAGTTGTAAATAAATTTCTGTAAAACATGTCTCCTGTTAAAAAAAAAAAAACAATGCGTTTGTCTTATTGTTTAATTTTGCTTAAAATAGTTGAACTGCCGTCTTATTACTATCATATGGCCGAATAGACCTACGAAGTACCATGTGCTCTTGTGATATGGTATAAGGTTTATTTTTGCTTGAAACAGTTTGAAACCGTTCATGCATAAAAAAAGGTCGCCAATAAATAGTCTTGTCAATCCGCCGCCGTATAGCGCCGGCGTTTGTTTCCTTTTGAAAACACTTATTTTGCTATTCTTACTAATTAGACGTTTTCAAATCGACTTTTACATTTGTATAACATTAAATAATATTTAACATTTGTAAATATTAATGAATAATAAACCTTATTTTTTTCCAAATTAAGGTTATTGATTGTTTGACATTTACAAATATTATTATTAGATGAAAATTTAATTTAATAAAAACCAAGGTTTTCCAGGGTGATTTAGCTGTACCTACTTATATAAATGATTTTTTTATAAAACAAAAAATAGTACAAAATGTTTGTAATCTCTGCATAAAAAAAAGTAACTCTCAATTTCAAAGAAAACACGTATAAAAACACGTAGTTACCCACTAAAAACAAGTATCCTTCCGTTTGTAACTGATGTTTGATGTCAACTAAACTTAATTAGGTCTAAACAAGTGAAAAAAGCATAAAAAATATAATTACTTTTACACATGGCTGATGGCACAATAGGCGTGTCATCAACTTGCGCTTGGCAAGCTTGGCTTGAACAAATATTTCAAAATATTCGGTCGCCGCCACAGCTAAAGGTTGTCGAAAATTGATGCCGCAACGAACAGGTTAAGAAATTCTCAGTACCAACTTAATGTCAAGAAGTTGGGGGTGTTGCCCTTATGGCTTGGAAAGTAGCTACGTAAAGTTGTTGGTCCTGTACCTAATCTATCCGGTCGTGTTGGATTGCCGTCTCTCCTAAGTATGAGAGGAGTGCACTTGTACTTGCACTTACACTCGTTAACTGCATAGATGGCTAGTCTATGTTGGGACTGACCGCCGTGTCCGAAATTCGGTCTGGAGGACATTATGATAAATATAATTTGTACAATTGGTCGAGCAGGGCTGGTATATTGGACATGCGTACATAGGCTGCACTAAAAGTATCGGGAATGGAATATTTCCACTGTTCCTGTC